CCACTGTGAATCAGCATAATGAATAAACGACGTTGATCGTGAGAAGTGTTCATCAATATTTCAAATATTTAATATGTATATATACTATGCAGTTTCCCTCGTACACACATATTGTTCTGATGTGTTCTACATTAGACAATGTCTTCACTGAATTTTTGAATGTCATCTTCGCCGAAATATCGCTGAATTTGTATTTAATACAAAGAGATTGTTCCCGTATATGAAACTCGAAACCTATCGTTGAAGGTTTTTTTTTTTCGGAGGCTTCCAGTTTCGCGCTTGCACGTTTGCGTTCCGTGGTCACCTGGTTGGAAGGAAATCGCTGGGAATTATGGCTGTAGATTGGTTTCGACAAGTATACTCACGTGTTTTCATCTTTACTTGCTCATAACTTTCCAGTCGAAAGCAAATTATCAAATCGACTCAGATCGAAAATTTCGAATCGCCTCCATCTTGTTCCCTTTTTCGTCCGTCAAAGGGAGGGAGGGATGAATCATTTGTTTGTAAATCCATCTCTCTTCGGGACGTTTCGATCGCTGTTTTCTTCTCAATTCAATCATAGCTTTCGGAGGCCAGTTGGCCCGATTTGCATCTTTTTATTTCTAAAATGCAATCTCACATACGCTCTTTTCTTTAGTGAGTCATTGATTACACATGATTTCGTTGTGTGCTATAAGCCTACAACTCAGTTGAACTAGCCAATTCGATCAGACTTGTGTAAGATCAGTGCGATATGTTTCTGAATCATTAGTTTGATTGCGATTTTCTTGTATAAGTTAGACTTGTCAACGTTTATTCTTTTGAGAATGTGTATATTATATAAGGGTCTACTAATGTTCACAATGTCGCAAGCACTATTATAATGATAAAAGAAAAAACGCTGTCACGACAACTGCAGTGATTCAATTTTTATTTCGAAAAATGTGTAAAATTTGAGTCTTTACTAACCAATTTGTTACTACTTTTCACGTATATTCCCCTTCATAAGTTAATTCAATGTAGGTAACAGAAAATTTCTACAATCATACCACATGACTTTCATTTTGGAGCTCGCCTATCGAGATGAAACTAAGACATTTAGACTTATTATATTAGACTTGAACGTCAAAACAAAAATGTCATTATCTCATGAGAGTTTTTCTTGGCTTTTTGGTAGAATTTAATTCTAAAAAAGTTTACATATTTCAGAATATTGAGGTTTCACGCGTTTTGTTTTGAGTTTTCATTATGATGTTTGACCTTTGAACCTTCTTCAAATAGTTTGTGTAACATACGCCGCAGGTCTTTTTTATAGTGTTGTATAGACGTGCAGTATGCTTATTAGGAATTATGAAATAGGCCGATAAAGTATGTAGGATTAAATAGGCAATGCAAAGTAAGTAGCCCATGTTTGTTTCATACCGATATGCCAAACTGTTAGTCATTTTGGCCTATTTCTTTATGTGCGTAATTACTCTTGCTCTAGAAAATGTGTTTCGTCTTTCACAAATATTTTTGGCGCAAAAAATCATTGCTAATGTACATATTTGAGCGCTCTTCCGGACATCCGTGAATCCGCCCAGACAGCCTATAAAAACTACCGGTATATGACATTGCGGTCTGTCTAGTCTAGTATTTACTTTATAGAACAACGGGATATTTTTTACTCTTTATCTCGATTTGCTCGTTTATTTTCATAAAATTTAATTTTTAAAATAACCAAAAACTGTAATATGAAAGCTAATACAAAGATAAAATTTCGCGATATTCAATTACATGGGGAATTGTTTCTATTGTGGCTTGAAGTTTATGGAAAAAGATTTCGATTGCGCGAACAAATGAATATATACACAGCAATTCAAGTAATTTCAACATTTTTAACATAATAAAATCAACCGTTCTATAACATTATTATATTCAGTCTAAAGTTATGTAACGTTTTTAGCCTGCTAAGATCAAACCCAGTTACTTAGACTTGATTACGAAATTCCGAAGCCGTCAAAACGAGATGTCACGAAATTCATGACCACGTAAAAATTTTTCATCGGGGTCCCAGAAATGTTTCTTTAGAATTGCAGTTTGATGCATTCAAGATTTTGCGTATTAGTTTCATTGCGATTTTCTGAATGTTTTTCATTTTGGGAAACATGCATTACGGAGTGTTTCTAGTTCCATTCGATTTCGTGTCCGTATATTTGAGCATATAAGTATCATACTGCCTGTCTACAATAACGACGTACTCATTAATTTCAATCCATCTTGATTTGTGGGTTTATGTCTCATAAATTAAATGGAACCCATACATCACTGATAATTTGAAGACAAAATGCGCGCCGAACGCCGTATATTTACACATTGATTTGCATGAGCAGGTAAGAAAGGTTGATTAAAATACACAGCACAGATGAGAATATATTGCTCGCTAAGACAACGCTTACCAGCACAAGCTCGTGTTTCTCGGAAGTTTTATTTTTACTTGTTCATAAGTTGTGTAATCTAATACTCGATTAGCGCCAGCTTAAACTGACTATAAAATGGCGATGGATGTATCAAATTATCATTCGCTGTGGTTTGAACTTGAGAGCAATAGACTTCGATCAAACAAGTAAATATGTCTCAGTTTACATTGTTGTTTGAACTTGATGGCAATCAGTTTCAATGATCAAACAAACAAATATCTATACATGGCGCATTTCAATCCATCATTTGACCAAGCCAGAATTGCACCTTTTTAAGAGTTACCTGCTCAGATCGGGCATGGATATTTAGTTATATAAGTTAATTAATTATAAGTTATGATGTTTAAAGTTTTCCTCCTGGGGCACCAAACAGAATCATTAGTTTATGCATTCCAGAATATTGAGGTTTTACATATTTATTTACAAGTTTGCTCATAAAAGCATGGCGTTTCAATACTTGTGTTTGAAAAAGGCAACTAACTTGGTTTACATGAAAACTTGGTAATGAAATTATCTACATGTTCACCATATTGAAAAAAAAAAAATTCGTTTTTGATTGCGGCCCATCTTGGTTTGTGTGTTCATGTTTCGAAAATTAAACAGCTAAATAAACTCAATATACCACCGATAATATTAATACAAAAACCCACGTCAAAATGCTTTTTATTGAAGACAAAGTAGACCTATGGATCGTTTTGTTATTATGTCGCTGTTGTTAGATATTTTGTTCTTGTTTATGTTATTATTGTTGTGAAAAAATCTCCTTTCTCTTTAACTATTGGACCAATTTCTTTAAAATCATCAGTGGTTGAAGATTATTGTTATCGGAATTTCCTTGTGCTCTTTGGGAGTTATTTTTTTACTTCGAAGTTTTGTATGTTAACATCATCAAAATAAAAAATTGCTCACCGTGTGGCGGTTCCTGATCCCATTTCAGCGATCTGTTGCACAGTCGAAGTCAAAAGCGTTTTTATGTAAGCTGAAGATAGACTACCGGTACGATAGTGGATTTGATATATACTGCATTTGTGACTCGGATTATCGAGAATGGTCGTATATATCACTATCGTCAAAGGACACGGGAAAGCTATGACAGTCCGGTTCTATAGATAGGAAGATGTTCTGACTGTTCCACAGCGTCCAGGATATGATTTGGGGATGGGAATTAAGGGTAAAAATTCGTTTTGGTCTTTGTGTCAATTGCTCTTTCATCATTTACATACCAATAATTTTTTCAAAAACATTCACATTATAGTTTGAATTTGATGGTAATCGATTTAGATCATAAAACAAGTAATTGCAAAATGTAACGTTTCATACAACAGTCGAACAGCTAATCTAAACAAGTCGATCAGATCTGAAACCAATTTTAAATTTTTTTCTTTAAAGTGCAGCTGTCATGACCGAGCAAAAATATTTGAAAATTTATTTTAGAAGCCCGCATACGTATACTCGAAATGTCATGACCCTGTAAGATTTTTTTCTTGGTTATCAAGTATTATGTCTGCTCATAAGATGTTATCGCTTTCCGGAATACATCCTCCACCGAGCTGTTGTCCTGTCATTAACTGCTTCAACTTCCGCATTGAAATTTCACCTCCTCTCAACAATGTAGCATCTGTAAATGCACACTGATCGGTATGGTGAATATCTGTGGCACACACTCCCTGACTTCAATCAGCCAGTAGCCTATTTGTTGTGCCAGGAATCCTTCTGATAAGTCAACGATGGGAGCTTGCCTTCTGGGTTTGGATACGCTTAACCTGACTGCCGCTGAAATTCCAATGCACTAAACCAGACACAGTTCCGAATCGAACTTGTTTTATTTTACCACTCAATAAAGTGCTTATTGTGGCCACTCGTGTAAGGTCAGGTGATTTAAAAATAGTTTGGACTGCAACGCATAAATACAAATCCTACTTAATCAGATATACATATGTAACTAAATGCAAAAATAAATACAGTTTTAGGTACAATCCTAATAACTTTTTCCCTATTTCAACACATGTCTACATAAAACACAACCCTAAGTTCCCTAAAATACAACCCTAAGTTATTATTAAATCTGCAACAAAAAACGTACGGCCCTTTTACCAGTGCTGATAAACCAAGAGACTGTCGCAACAACAGGTTGCCACAATATGCACCATATACCAATTACGTATGGGCACTAGATTGCAATCAGAAAGTATTATGTCAATTGAATGCGAGTCATCAAAAGTGGATACTAAGTCTATACCTAAAACAGTTCTAAATAAATGAAATAATATACAAATACCAATGTGCAGTGACTAAATACATCAGAATATTTGCATAAGAAAAGCAATATGTGGCAACACTATATGCACTGCCTTATTAGGAATGAAACGGCAATCATCCTCAACACACCGGCCCCAATCATTTTGTTCACAAAATTATTTTAAACAATGAGGATGATTTATCCAACAATCGAACACAATGAAAACATGCAATAAAATAACATACTGAGAACATGAAATGAAACAACATATACAAAAAAATGACCTGGACCACTGAACATGTTTGGCAATAAAGGACAGAAGCTTAAGCAGCTTCAAGTAGGCAGAGTTTCCTAACATCACGAACTAGATCAGAATTCCTAGTATGAACCTTAACCCTCCTAACCATCCCATCCTTATCGGGAAATACCTCAATCACTCTACCCTTGGGCCAAACGCCGCGCGGAGTATCGTCGCCATACAGAAGCACAATGTCACCCACTTTCAAATTTCTCTCAGGAAAGAGCCATTTCTGTCTCTTTTGCAATAGCGGTAAATACTCCTTTGTCCAGCGATTCCAGAATCGATCAAGACTGAGCTGGACATGTCTCCAATTTTCGCGAAACTCGTCACCGCGCGTAAACTTATCGGGAGCAATAGAGGGATCAAGATTTCCAGTCAAAATGGAATTTGGTGTCAGAACCTCCAAATCCCTTGCATCATCACTAATAGGTGTCAATGGGCGATCATTCAGAATTCTTTCTACCCCAGTCAGCATGGAGATGAGCGAAAAATCAGTAAATGTTCGTGATTTAGCACAAATCGCATAAAGAACTCTTTTTGCCTCCCGGACCATTATCTCAACCAAGCCATTCTGGTGAGGTGCTAAAGGCGGTTGAAAATCCCACTGAATTCCATGTTGTGACAGAGAATTTGCAATTTGACTCTGATTCCACTTACAAATCCCCTCAGCAAGAAGTCTCTCACCAGCCACAAAGTTTGTGCCATTATCTGAAATTACATGGGATGGTTTTGAACGCCTATCACAAAATCGAAAAAAGGCCTGCAAAAATGCAGATGCATCAAGTGATTCCGAGACCTCAATATGAACAGCCCTAGTGACTGAACAGGTGAATATGCATCCATACCGCTTGTATTCCTTACGTCCCAATTTGACTTTCAATGGGCCAAAGTAATCTACAGCAGTGTGATAGAAAGGAGTGCGACCACCCAGAACACGCGACTCTGGCAGAGGAGCCATCCACTGTGAACCAGGTCTACTCGCCCTCAACTTGCACAATTTACAAGCATTCAGCACCTTACGAACTTCCGCCTGTCCACAAAGAATCCAAAATTTTTCCCGCACAGAGGAAAGAGTGTGCAATGTACCAGAATGACCATTTTGCCGATGATAATACTCTATTATCAATTTTGTTACATGATGATGAGGTGGTAATATTATTGGATGCTTCTGCTCCGGTGATAAATGTGAGTGTCGAAGACGGCCACCCACCCGCAAAATATCATTGTCTAAAAATGGGCTAAGTTTAATGAGAGCCTTAGAATGTGGTGATGTAGGCAACTTACAACCACTGCTCAAGTAGTTTGGTCCGTCATGTACACGCTCACTAAAATATTCGAGCTCTGGAGAAAACGATTCAATTTGGGCCAACTTGCAGATCTGAATAGTTGCTACACTAAGTTCCGTAACAGTTAAATCTCCAGTCATTGGAGAGTCATTTGATCGACAGGTTTTCCACAAAATAAAAAACTTAAAACGCAACATCCATGCAATTGTTCTCGACAATTTTTCCCACGTTGAATAGCGATTTATTAACTCAGGAAAATACTGGGATCTCTTTTGAACTTCAACAAGATTCACCTTAATTTCACAATGTAAATCGGAATTAGTTGGTATGGTATCTGACACTGATGAAGTGCCAGGCCATGAAACACTTTGTTGCCACAAAAAACTCGGACCTTGAAACCATAATTTTGCCTTATCCAGCTTATCTGGCATAAGGCCACGAGAAGCGATGTCTGCTGGATTTTCATTTGTTGGAACATGAGACCACTGCGACACATCAGAGATTGATTGAATAATATTAACCCGATTGGCTACAAAAGTCTTAAAGCGCTGTGATCTACTATTCAACATCTGCAACACAGTCATCGAGTCTGTCCAATAACAAGTTTCGTGTATCTCATAGTCTAGTGCATTTGTGACAGAATGAGCAAGTTCTGTAGCAACGACTGCCGCCGTCAATTCTAGTCGTGGAATTGTCACTAGCTTCTTGGGGTAACACGCGCAGTACCCTTTACAAATGCACAGTGAACCTCGCCGGATTCGTTCTCCAACCTAAGGTACGCTACTGCACCGTAGCCCACTCTACTTGCGTCGCAAAAACAGTGAAGCTGCACATTCGCCGCCTCAAATCCTTCCGGTTTGTAGCAACGTTGTATAGTCAACTCCCTCAAACTAGGCAAGGTGCTGATCCATTTCTCCCAACCATCATACAAGTCTCCCTCGACAGGATCATCCCACGAGTAACCCAAAAAACACAAATCCTGCAAAATGCGCTTTGCGGGAATCAAAAACGGTTGAATAAACCCCAATGGATCATATACCTGGCCAAGCATGCTGAGCATGCCACGGCGCGTTGAGGGTCGAAACTCAATTTCCACCCGAACCTTGAAGACGTCGTGCACCATGTTCCAATAAATTCCCAGCGTACGTTCAGTCAACTCTGTACTAAAGTCAAGCGCTTTCGTTGCGGTTGAGCGATCCGCCTCGGGAATCGCTTCCATTACTTCAATTTTATTACAAGCAAACTTTGTAAGACAGAACCCACCCGATGCGAGTAATTCGATCAGCTGATTTATCAATTGAAGTGTTTCATCGACGGTACGTTTCGACTTCACACCATCATCAACGAAAAAACTGCGTTGCACTGTCTGTATCGTTTCCAGATCAGCATTCGTTAGATTGTCATCAGCGACACGTTTCAACACAAATGACGCAATCGAAGGACTCGACGTCGCGCCAAAAACATGCGAACACATTCGCAGATCAATAGGTTTCTTTCCCAAGTCGTCATTCGGATACCACAGAAAACGCATCGCATCACGATCTCGACTGTCCAGAATAACACGTAGATACATTTCGCGCACATCACAAATAAAGGCAACCGCTTCCTCGCGAAACCGCAGTAGAATACTCACCAAATTCGTATTTAGGTCTGGACCTGAAAGTAAATTCTTGTTAAGTGAAGTGCCGCCGCACTCCGCACTGCAATCGAAAACAACCCGGAACTTGGCCCCAGTAGAGTGGTGTGGCATATACCAAGTCCTACCCAGAGACCCAGGATCACCCTCAGGCACTATTTCCGCATACCCCTTGTCTAAGTAATCATTAATTTTGGACTTGTATTTAAAAAATAAATCGGGGTCCCTAATAAATTTTCGTTTTTGGGACTCTAAGCTTTTCACTGCCATTTGACGATTGTTTGGAAGTTTAATATTTTTATCTTTCCATGGAAGAGCAACTTGGTACCTCCCATTTACTTTTACTGCAGTGTCATTCATCACTACAAGAGCTTTCTTATCATCTAGGGCAGGGGTTCTCAAACTTTTGGTGTTGCGGAGCCCTTGAAAGGTTGAATATTATTCGCGGAGCCCCAAAATAAATTTTAAAATTGTTACTTTCAGATTATTATTCCCGAGCAAGTTAAAAGTACTTTATTTATTTTAAATGCTGAACCTTTTTTAATAGGGTTAACACAAGTCATAAATAAATCTAAATTTTATACTAAAGCTGTAAATTTGACACTTGACGAACATATTAATAAATTAAGGATCGAATCTTTTCTTTTTTGACATTTTTGGAAGACTTAATTAAAAGGCCGTTAGTAACGTGCGCTATTTCATTTTGTTACAATCGCCGATTTTTTCCGTCAGCATGGCGTGTTTTAAACATCTTTACGCCGCTGTTTATTCTCCCTAAATCAAAAATTTCCCTCGGCATATACATGTATTGTTACACAATGACGACGTTAATTGCTTTTTTATTCTCGTGGGGAATTATGAGTTCAATGTGAAAAACATGTTACCATATTATAGTCATCGGCGACGAAATGCTAAAAATATTAATCAATAAAAAGGTAAATCCACAACTCAAATTTCTTGATTGGAAAGCGGCATTCTAAAATATTTAAACTGAAACTTAAAATGGAAGATCACACTTTGGTTTCAGCAGACTCACCTCAGATTGAAAACGCTTCTATAGACATTGTAAATCACAAAATTTGGTGTTATGTTAGGTTTTCATCGTAGTAGCTGCGAAATCGAAACACCGCGCGATTTCCCTTTTTTCCATTCTGAAACTACCGACGCAGCCGCACGCAATCAATTGTGCGCGCGATCCGCGATGTACCTTTTTTCATTCTGAAACTACCGACGGAGCTGAATGCAATAAAATAATTTTCAATTGTTCGTATTTTCCCCAGACATTGTGATTTTTTAAACGGCGATATCTTGCTTAAAAATAATCTCAAGTGCGAAAGAACAAATCAAGTTTGACAAATCCCAAGATCGCAAAAATACTACACCAATTTATTTATAGTTGGCAGTTTATCACATATTTTATGTTATTTTAGAATAGTATTCTTTCATTTTAGTAATCCTAATAGTAATCTCGAATCAAACGTGAGTAACGATGAGCACAACTACATTATACCGACGAGACACGTCAATTGCTCCATCGGTCTTGGATTGAATATTTTACGCAACAGAAATCTCGTTATCCGTTTTTTTAATCGCGAAAAATGTTGCGCGGAAATTTCCGTTTCCAATTTTGAACCACCTCCCTCTTAAGAATCCTGGCTGCGCTACTGCTCATAAATAATGTAATTTTTCAATTCCGGCCCTTTACCATATTTCGAGGCTATATTGTTGTCAGATGTTATCAAAGCTGTTATTGCTTCTTTGAACAGTTACAAAATTTTGAGTCAGTATTTTGAAGAGTAATCAGTATGTTCCCCAGCTTTTCATTTTAGGGGGGTGTTTCGAAGTTTAGGGGGTGGAAAATAATCTGCTATTGCGATGAAACTATTTGTACTTTCAAAAAAATGGGTATGTATTTAAGAAACAATGTACATGAGGGGTCTCCCAAGTTGATTGACGGCGAGCCAAAATACACAGCAGAATAAAAATGTAGGGCCAGAAAAGGCGAGCGAAAAGTGCGCGACGACACGGCTGGGGTTCAGGGCGCGCTTAAGCGCCCTGAGAAAATATTGAGAAATAGGCACCAAAATAGGCTATAAGCTTGATTTTAGATACACCTAGCATCGCAGTTTGTTATGTAATGAAATTAATAATTATAATATTTAGCTGATAGAATTCCCGAGGAATAAATAACAAGCACGGCTTTCAGCAAGTAATTTACAACTTATAGTGACTAATGAAGTTACCTGCTCATCTAGCATATGGCATCGTATGAATGGCTACTTCTGGCTTGTTTTGTTACACATTTTACATTTTTTGAACATGTTTGTTTGACTTTTGTACGAATCAAGCAATGAATTAAATTTTGAAATACGCGCGTCAACTGATCATAATGGCGCATAATGTTGTATTCCTTCAGAACTGAAATATTTTGTTGGCAAGGAAGACAAATCGCTGAAGTTTGATTTTTTCCAATAAAGAAATAAAAACATGCCATTCATCTACAAAATGTCTGTTTACATTGCCTAGTTTTCGTTTTGTGACATCTTTAAGCTTTCTTAATATATATATGGCTAATATCTAAAATACTGCGGTGTGTAATCCTAATACCCATACGTATACATAAGATACCGGTATAATTCAATAGTTACGAAATAAACGTGCTTAAACTGTGATAATGATGTAACGATAGACGGAATCTAAAACTCAAAAGGTACCACATGAAGTGTTAAACTATTTCACTCAAGTTCGGCGGGCCATTTTAAATCGTTACGCGGGCCGTAATTGGCCCGCGGACTGCGGTTTGGAACACCTCGTCTACACTGAAAAATATTTCATAGTCGTTATATTTGAATGCAAATATAATTGAGTTAGGAATTACAGTGTGGACTGTGAAATCGCACCTGGGAATAACAGTGTCGAATCGCACCTCAAAATTAGGGGGGGGTGTTTGAAATTTTAGGGGGGGTGTTCACCCCCTATAGGGGGGGTGTAGGGATTTCACTGGCTCGCGGAGCCCCTGGGTTTCTCTCGCGGAGCCCTGGGGCTCCGTACGGAGCACTTTGAGAACCTATGATCTAGGGAATGTTCAGTGGTGAAGGGATCACAATCTAAATCTATAAAATCATGACCACAAATTTTGCACAAAAATTGATCAGTATCACATGCACACACAGTATTTAGACGAGGACATGAAACATCACTTACACTTTCACAAATGCTATGAGACATAGTTCTGTCAGGACCGAAAAGAGCCCAACCAAATACTGTCCTGTGAGCAGCGGGAAACTTTGCCTTTTGATCACAAAGCCTAATTTCAGAAATAGGATGATTGGCTAACACTTCTGCACCAATCAATAAATCAACCTCACTAGATCCTAGCACAGGAAATTCCAAATCACCAAATGAGGATATTTCTGCAACACATTAGCGTCGGGATAGAACTCTCTAAATTGGGTAAATTAATTGCCAATTGGGAATGTCAACAACCCTTTCCGAATCACAACCTTTTACTTTCAGTGAAACTGTTTTACCCTGTGTAATTTACTACCATTCGCTGTTGCGAGCATACAATCTTCAGGTTTACCCTCAATACCTAATTTTGCAAGTAAATTGTGGGAGCACAAGGATCTGGTAGACCCTTCATCTAAAAAGGCATAAGTACACACAGCATCAGAAGCACCATTGCTGGTAACCTCCACAGGTACAACCTTAAGTCTAACAAAATTTTGAATATTTTCCGAACAATTAACATTTGCGAAATAAGCACCGGCCCCATTTTCTTTCTTGGGGGCAGACACATTATTTTGAGAATTAGCATTGCTAGAAAAATGAGCACCAGTGGTTGGTGGCTTCTTTTGATCAACATGTAATAAACTGTGATGTAATTTACCACAGCCATTTACTTGACACACATATTTAGAAGGACAATTATTTGCACGATGAGAACGATACAAGCAATTAAAGCAAAGATTATTTCGTCTCACCATTTCGGCGCGATCATTAACACTTCTCCCTTTAAACTCGACACAGTTGTGTAAAGCATGATTTCCTTGACAGTCCACACACTTGTACTGCAAATCAGCTACCTTGGGTCCTGGAGTCTTCTCTTGGGTATTGGTGACTGCATACGATGTAGTTCTTGTCATCCTAGGTTTGGTGACTCGAATAGTTGATTTCTGTTTGGCAGAATTCTTGGTCACAATCCGACCATAAAATGTAGTAGTTAGCTGCGCTTTCTTCACCACGAATGCAACCAAGTGTGAAAATGTAGGAAGTTTACTGTCATCAAATTGGTCCGCATACTTTCGTTGCAAGTACATGGGCAGACGTGAGAATACACGCTCAAGATTTTCATAGCCATCCATGAATGAATTTGCATTCCACTCACTAAGCACAATCTCACAATTACGCAGTTGAGTGGCCAACTTGCAAAGTCCTTGAGTGTCATCGTCCATAATCTTGGGACCATTTGTTACCTCTTTACTTGTAGCTTCAATTACCACAGTTCGGTTACCAAACTGTTCATGTAAGGTTTGCCACGCCATCTGATAGCCCTTGCTTGGTGGCGACACTAGTACTAAATTCTTGATGGCATCCTTTGCGATGCCAGAACACAATTGAATCAGCTGTGCAAGCTTTGTCTCAGGCGCATGTTGGTGACAATGAATGTTAGTCTCAAATGACTTCATGAAGGCATGGAAACGCAGGGGATTTCCATCAAACTCCATCAGTTCAACTTTGGGCAATGTGAAACCTTCTCGCAGAGCATTAATCATAGCACCATAATCTGGAGGAACAGCACTTGTTGCTGTTTGAAGTGGCAAAGCTGAATTCGGTACCGCCTGATAAATCCCATCGCCAACTTGACGATTGCCACTTTCGTATGAATTTACTACTGGCTGATGCGCACCAGTAGCAAGTGTTGACACAGATGGTGCAAAACCGCTCTGAACGACACCTCCACTGCCATATGAATTTACTACTGGCTGATGCGCACCAGTAGCATGTGTTAACACAGGTGGTACAGATCGCAGCTCTGCAGCACTCCTTCTCTTGCATATGAATTTACTACTGGCTGATGCGCACCAGTAGCATGTGTTAACACAGGTGGTACAGAACCGCAGCTCTGCAGCACTCCTTCCCTTGCATATGAATTTACTACTGGCTGATGCGCACCAGTAGCATGTGTTAACACAGGTGGTACAGAACCGCAGCTCTGCAGCACTCCTTCACTTGTAATAGGGGAAGATTCCCAAACAACAGTAGATTTTGAAGGCTCACGAACCATATGTGCGTGACCTACATCTGAAGCATATTGTCTTATTGGTAGTTGGTGAACTGTTTCATCAGAAGAAAAATGCAATCTCGTGAGATCCACTGAGTCGCCATGTCTGGACGAAGTCCCTGATGAACTAGCCTTTAGAAGTAGCTCAGCCTTCTTCTTCTTCGCTTCTGTCATTGCTGTTTCTATTTTTTCTCTTAACAATTCTTCTTGAGCTTCAAGAAGCATCAGTTCTGCCTGGAGGCACTTTGATGATGTTGATGAAAGTCTTGTTTTCGCTGAGCTAGATGAATGCGTGGAAGCAACTTCAGAGTATTGTATATTTTTCGCCATAATCCACCGGTAGTCGGGGACCGTGTACTATTTTTAAATGATGATCGGTATGGTGAATATCTGTGGCACACACTCCCTGACTTCAATCAGCCAGTAGCCTATTTGTTGTGCCAGGAATCCTTCTGATAAGTCAACGATGGGAGCTTGCCTTCTGGGTTTGGATACGCTTAACCTGACTGCCGCTGAAATTCCAATGCACTAAACCAGACACAGTTCCGAATCGAACTTGTTTTATTTTACCACTCAACATAAAGTGCTATTGTGGCCACTCGTGTAAGGTCAGGTGATTTAAAAAGTTTGGACTGCAACGCATCCAAATCCTACTTAATCAGATATACATATGTAACTAAATGCAAAAATAAATACAGTTTTAGGTACAATCCTAATAACTTAATCCCTATTTCAACACATGTCTACATAAAACACAACCCTAAGTTCCCTAAAATACAACCCTAAGTTATTATTAAATCTGCAACAAAAAACGTGCGGCCCTTTTACCAGTGCTGCTAAACCAAGAGACTGTCGCAACAACAGGTTGCCACAATATGCACCATATACCAATTACGTATGGGCACTAGATTGCAATCAGAAAGTATTATGTCAATTGAATGCGAGTCATCAAAGTGGATACTAAGTCTATACCTAAAACAGTTCTAAATAAATGAAATAATATACAAATACCAATGTGCAGTGACTAAATACATCAGAATATTTGCATAAGAAAAGCAATATGTGGCAACACTATATGCACTGCCTTATCAGGAATGAAACGGCAATCATCCTCAACACACATTTCACAGCAGCAAGTTACAGACTGAAAAAATGAAACTCGAAATCTCTTGCTAAACTTTGTTGCCGAAACCGAGCAACTACGTTCATCAAACAAAGACTGCACTCCATACAGGGGTGACAACTGACAAAGTGATTCTGCAATCTATTTCAGCGACAGATTTTGTGTTTCATATATACGATACCATTATGTTTTCTTGCCAAATGCCCACAACGTCAATGTAATATCTTTATGTCTGTTCCTACTCTTGGCATAGATAGACTGTTATCATTGGCATAAAACACCAATGTAAATTTACGATTTATCAAATCATTCCCACCAGATTTATGCAAGATCAGCTGGATATTCCGCCAGATATTTTTCTTCAAGAATTCCTTCTGTCGCAGGGATATCAGCATATCGACATTTTCAGAAAGTAGTGATGAACGCTTTGCATTAACACTTTTTATCGCCGTGCTGAATATACACGCTGATGTACACTGGTAGAAGGTACACGTACGTACCTTTTTTTGTTGCGTCGTTGCTGCTACATATTTAAATCTAGATCTATTACCTTTCCACCGCCCAGTGTCCAGTGGGTCGGAACTGCGAAATAGCTCTAGAACCCTTGTGACGCAACGATTCTAAACTTCTAATGGTTAAATTGTTTTCACTAAAATTTTCAGCCCTACCACTTACGTTCACAATATTGGAAAAATGAAATAATCAAGAACTCTGTTCTGAAGACATTATATTTGGCGTTGAAAACAAATTAATTTTTTTTCTATACACGGTGCTTATGCAGGTTTGCAAGCACTCGCGTAAAGATATAAAAAGACGAGTCACAGTAACTGCCGTAAATCAGAAAGATTGAGTCTCCAATTACCAATCCGTAACTAATTTTCATGTATGTTTCTTTTCATGCTTTATTTATGTATAGGGAATAAAAAATTTCTATCGTATCGCATAGTCCAATCGTATGACTTTCATTTTGGGGCTGTACAAAATGTTACTCGCCGGTGTGGAACTAGAACATTTAGACTTAATTATGACGTCCGCAAACGTCAAAACAAAAATGCCGTTACCTCATGAGAATTGTTCTTGACTTGGGCCTTCATCGAGTTGTACGTTTAGGTATTTCAAAATGTTGAGGTTTCACGCGTTTAATTTGAATAAATGTCATCATAAATGCCTGGTCTTTCAGCCATCTTCAAATATTTTAATTAGTATACTTAACGCGTCTTTCTAATAATGGTATGTGCATCTGCAATGTGCTTATTCTAAATTATGGAACAGGTCGACCAAAAATGTAGAATCAAACAAAATTTGCCAATATTATTTTACTATAGCAACATGTAGACTTTGATCATAGAATAAATCCAATTCACATTGCCAGCTTGTGTTCTATGCCTATTTTTAATTATTCTCAGCGCAAAAGACCAATGCAAATTACCATTTTTAGCGCCAATCCATACATTCAAATATGCGGGATATCTGTCTACAGCAACGATGTAACAGTTGTTGCGCCCTATATTTATCTGTGTGTTTATCTTTCGAAAAGTAAACAACTACTGTACATGAAATCCAATGTATCACTGATAATAAAAACAGCACATCGCGTCAAATATAATTTTTATTTAGATAGTGAATTCCGTGCAGCACGCATGCAAGATTTGATCCAAAACCACATATAAACAGAATGCTACGAATAAAATCTTAGCGGTATATATACTCATGTGATTTAATTCTTGCTAAGCCATAACTTTTTAATCTTACATTCGAAAATGAGTAACTTCAACTCACTGTAAGAAGTCAATGTATTTCAATCAAATATTTTTACAGTGTTGTTTGGATTTGATGGTAATTGAATGAGATCATAAAAACAAATATGCAACGTGACGTTCTAAGTAACACGTCTCACCAGACGAAGCTAATCTAAAAAAGTCCATCAGAAGTGAAACTTGTTTTGTATTTTTGCCAGCTAAAAATATTTAAAATTTATTTTATAATCCCCCAAACGTAAACACAAATGATCTCGTAAGATTTTTTCTTCGTATCGACTCTTATGTCTCATCAGAAATGTGAGTTCGTGCATTTAGAATATTGAGATTTTACATATCTACCTTCATTGCAATTTTCTCATGAGTTTATGTGCATAGTCGCTCGACAATTCAATTTCAGACCCGTTGACAATTCAATTTCTAGACCAATCCGCGGCACATGGCCCGCATGTGGCCGATTTCTTCTTCAATGGTATATATTTGACCTTTCTTGAGTAAGGATGCTAAGTATGATTACTTACAAGTATTCGCTTCTTATCCGATTTTTAAATTTTCGATTCCGATTCTCGATACCTGGACATAGCTTACCAAGAGAACATACCCACCTAATCAATACCATATGAAATTGCGAATCGAACAAAAGAGCGATGTTCGAATATATGGACATAAAGTCCAAGTTAAATCGCACATAAAAAGGAACCCTTAGAGCCCACAAAAATTTTTGAAAACATAAAATAAAAGTAATAACCTCCTAGAGAAAAGATTACAATTCATTACCACTGGAGAAAAGAAAAGTTATTTCTTTATAACAATGCCAAGAAATGAATTCTAACAACAACAACATAATAACAAAACGGTCTGTATGTCCACTTTAAAACCAAAAAATCTCTTTCTGTAGCAAACAAAAATCTATTGCAATCTAAAGTTCAATTCGTTCACATGCCTTCCTGAGTCTCTATTGCAATTTGGAGACAGTAAGCTCCGCTGAGCTAAATGCATATTCTGATGCGGGGATGTTGATGGAACACAGAGGTACTTTTGGACGACAACTGCGATGTTTAGATAAGAATTCTGTTTTGTTGCCATCATTACAACATTTCCTCTTGAGTCGCTGATATGCGAAAATTTCTGTCATTTAAATATTTTGATATCTCAGCTGAAGCCTTCACCTCCCTTGTCAATTCACCAATGTCGCCGACCGTTGCTTCAAAGCTGGTAATACCATCATTAATAAGATTTTAAATTTTAATTAATAAATTAATTAATATATTATTAAATTAATTAAATCAAATTAAAAAATAAATTAAATAATAAAAATTAATATTAAAACAACCAACAGCTTTTTTACCGACTTCTCTGTTGCAAAATATGTCAATTTCGAGATTCCTCCCTGGATAATGAAGCCACCGCAAATTGATACATCGTTAACTATTTATGGTACAACATGTTCACCAACAATACTTCAAACGTCATTCCTTGACCATATACACGAAAACTATCGAGACTATGTACAAGTATTTACTGACGGTTCGAAAAACACATTTGGCGTGGGTGCTGCATATTATGTGCCTCAATCGAAAGTAGAGATAAAACTGAAATTACATCGATTTGTCTCTTCACATACATCGGAGCTATACGCAATTCTGGGTTGTCTCAGATGGATCGCAACAACAAGACCGGAACGTGTATTGATAATAACAGACTGTCTCAATGCCCTTTCAGCTCTTCTTAATTATTCAACATATTAATAGCGAAAATAGCTACAATAAACTCGGTGTTAACAAAACAAGGAATACAAATTGCATTCCTATGGTCACCAGCTCACGTAGGAATTATCGGAAACGAAATAGTGGATAACCTGGCAAAAGGAGCAATCAACAAACTTTCCCTCGATTCAATTCTGCCACTTTCCGTCTCAGAAGCAAAATCATATTTTGATATATTGGCTCGAGAAAAATGGAATACGGAATATGTTATCAGTGAATCAGCAAGCCATTATAAAAGATTTCATCCTACCACGATGTCACGACAAGAGAACGAAACTTTGTCACGTAAATATCAAGTTATTTTATTCCGACTGCAAACTGGCCATTGCGCCCTGAATGTACATTTTCATAAAATTGACTGTCATTCTGACGGATTTTGTGAACAGTGTTTCGTACCCGAGACCGTAGACCACTACCTATTGCATTGTCAACGATATAATCATCAAAGAAGACCAGTCATTAGCAAAGCCAGAAAACTTAAATTGGAAATGACTTTGGAAGAAGTGTTTAGTAACATGAATATTATTGAAACTGTTATCGAATTTGTTTTGTCTACGGGCAGAAATATTTAGAAAAATTAGCTATTGTAATTGATTCAATTGTATAATTATATATTCGTAAATATTGTATTATATGTTAGTATAGGATTTTTAAATTCAAAATGATCAAAGGCGCAAAAGACCACTGAAGTTATAAGCGCCATAAAACATAACAACAACAACAACAACAAAATTTTAAATATATGCTCAATTCGTTCTATTGGAGAGCTATTTTGCTATTCCGGTCTGCCGGATTGCGGTGTAAACATTTTATACTTAAACTTACAATAGTCGTTTCACTTTTCCTAATGCATCTTGCTTCAAGTAAACAGGAGTTAGGAACGCAATAGGCAAGACAAAAATATACGAATGAAATGTGACCCGCGCAAACCAGCGAGTGGGATGAGAGTGTAGAAATATAGTGAAGCGTCGTAACAACTTCACATAGCGGTTTATACATATATGTGCCACAAAACGTTATACTTTGTTTGCAATCCAAGTTTTAACACTTAAGAATCGATTCAAAGTCATCGTAATCGATTCCAGTCGAATTGGAATCGAATCCGGAGTCGATTCCGCCATCCTCATTCTTGAGGATAGACTACTACACACGAATAGGGCAACGGTTTCATTTCAGTACATGACCAAATGTGGTCAACGCCCCCTATTGCGTAATACGGAGATTGTCGTGTTCAGCGCCACAATATCTCATTGTTTCAAGCGAAGAAAATTGGGAGGAATGTTGCTTTTGAAAGACGACGGATAAGTAACAGTATAAAAAGTTGAAAACCCCGTTTAAGCACTTTGATTATATGACTGGCTCATGTCACGTCGGAATTGACTTAACGCAAGCTTTTGCACTTTTATTTGTGTAAAAAAACGAAATTTACTTTACGGTATCATAATTCTGTCGGACTCCATTGCCGAGTTTATATTTCATATTTCGAAAATGAAACAACTGAACAATAACAAAACATATATTCTGTATATCCTCCCATAATATTTTACATTGTTATTTGCTATTTGAAAATTCTGAGGTTTTTCACTTATTCATGAGAAGTTTTAGTCTGCAGTTTGGCATCCGTAACTAATTTTCGTGTTTCGTCGGGTTTCCAGATGAAAAGCAATGGGACACCTGTCGCGGACGAGGCGCCTTAGTGATGCATTAGATATCCTATATATATATAATTATTATATATTCCTCACCCCTGTTGAGCTAAACAACGATACAATACACACAAGAATAATAAATGCTATAAATTGACATGTATATAATATGTGTTTTCGTGCTAAAATTAGATGAGCAATAGTCTTTAGGGGAAATTTATTTATATTTTAAATGTATTCGTGAGCGATAAAATACCAAAGATAAGTTAATGTATACCAAACTTGTGCGTTTCCGGAGCAATTTAGAAGCACGCACACCTGCGTTGGAACGTTTAAAGTATCACGAGTAAAGCAAACTCGGCTGTAATCTTCAATTACATCGCCGCAATTTGGAATTTATTTGACACCTACTGTGCTAATTTGTGGGCTTTTCATAAGTTTAAAACGAGAGAAAAAAACACGGCCATACGGAATAAGTGAGATCGCTTAGCAAGCTTGAATATAGGTTTACGAAATCATATATGCAGAAAATGGAAAATAAAAGTACTGTACTGTTAGATTTGTTTGTTTCCGCTGCTTTAAATAAAATTATTTTATTACTATTATATATTTCATTTTTTAGATATTTATACAACGTAATATTGCAATATTTTAAATTGAAAAAAATGTTGGGTCGATCTTGCAACTTGTATAATCCAATTCTAATAGAACACTGCGCTAGGCAATGACATTGTTGCAAAGTGAATCAGATCTGAAATGGTGAAATTCTTTCAGTAGCCAATTAAATTACACTTTCCACCAGTTAGTACAAAAGTGGGTCACAACGACAAATCACCAGCAGCACACTTTGAACTCTGAGCGCTGCGAGCAGTACGTATTAACCCAACATTAAGACGACAGCCGCGTCTTTTTTATTATATTTTTAGGTTCAAATGGTGCACTTGAATAAAGATTTCTCGGTATAAAGTATTGTTGGGGACTCAATAATATTTTCCAATGAAAAGTGTAATTAAGTGTGTGATAGTTATGTGCGTACGAAACTATGGCACAATCGTCTATTTGACGAAGCCAAACATGTAAGATAAAAAGAAAAACATTTTTGCCTCCATGTACCATTTTCTATAATTGTACTGTGGTTAAATGCTGCTTTATACCTAATTTTATTTTTCTCATAAGAAACAATTAAGCGTAATAAGTATGGTTATAACTGCGATTAACGCGCCGGTTAAACAGAAGCGCGCAAACAAAATTGTAAATATATTGATATTAGGTAATTATTTCATGGATAATTGGTACTTAGTTCTAACCCGCGGGCCATGACAAATTTTTACGAATAATATAAAATGTTTCGTGAAAACATTTTTTTTAATTTCTGAATACAACAGCGTAATTGATGAATGCAGATAATGATATTAAATGCTAGTATATGCAAAAAAATAACGGTGGAAAAAATCGAAGAACAGCAAGGCGCGTTATATATAAACATTGTCTGCTTGAGTTTTTTTCAGTTGATGTTTAGTTCACGAGACGATGTTTATACTTTTTACAATGTCGTGTGATTATTCGAACTGATTTAATAAGCTTCACCTGTCGGCCAAGCTTGCGAAGATTACACTTTCATGTGTACAGATTATTATATAGTTGTTTTGTAAATAAGCTTTTTTGCTCAATTTCGATGCCTCAAGATGTATATATAATACCGCCGTGCAAAAATAAGCAAAGTCGACAAAAACTGAGCGTTAGGAGTAAGTTTATTTTTTATTGCACTGGTTATCGTCTCGCGATTCACCAATAAAAAGAAGTGGCAAGTAAAATCAAGGTTGGTAGATAGTGAAAATTGTTTTACCGCTTCGCGTTACAGTTGAAAATGGGGTTTTGCTCTTTTTGCTGGATGATGGATTTGTTTCAGCAGCGAGATTTAATACGATCCAGTTCGTCAGGAAAAATTTAATAGAGAATGGGTGATGTATAAAGAATTTTAATTTGTTATATTTAATGGTCGTGATCAATCGTAAAGTTAGTATTTGAATTAGAAGCTCTGTGATTTATAGAGACTTTGAAAACAAAAGTGTATATATAGAATGAAGATCTAATTTCTAAATAAACAAGCCGGTAGGCGCCCAGTTGGATCTCCGCCATTGCTTGAGGCCCGCATCATTTCAGTTTACTAATGGATAATAGGAGACACTACTAAAAATCGCCAGTTCATTTTGAACGTTGCGCGTTCCGCTGAGTTCATTTCAAACGCTGCGCGTTTCGTAGTCTCACTCGCGTGACTAGTATATTGTGGCTAAAAATTAAAAAAAAATCTTCACTAAAATCCCTAAGGCTCCTCCAGTTTATAGAGTATCGAGACCAAAGCTAACTTATTGGAAAGAGTATTTTGCTATGCGGAAGGTAGCGTTCTTGGAATTTTAATTTTCGACTTGGTTGGCGAGAAAATGGCGATAAATTGTGAAAAAAAATTGAAATTTCATAACGATCGGCGCGTTTTTCGTTGTTTCCGTGGAAACGAAACTTCCATACGGACTTTTCATAAAACGCATAATACTAGGGTGGCTGGATAACCCATGTGAAAAATTTCATTCTGATTGGTCCTGCCGTTAAGACGCTACATCTAAACAGACAGACACACACACACAGACAGACATATACACAGACAGACAGATCGACTGATAATAAGGGTCTCCTATAGAGCGGAGATCCAACAGACAGACAGATACACAGACAGACAGAACGACTGATAATAAGGGTCTCCTATAGAGCGGAGATCCAAAACTTATTTACTTTTTGCTTCATCATTCATTTCGACTAATTTGTAATTGTGATGTATGAAATTCTCGTAATCGCAAATCTCAACCTTACAAATGTCACTTATTTTACGATATGCAGTGACGTATATACGTAAAATGACATCCATGGCAAAGTTTGAAAATGCACCCTCTTGATCGTTGACTGAAAATTTTTAATGACTGTTGTTGAATTGAGGTACTTGTACGTTATTATTCTAGTAAAAATTATTACCAAATAAAAATTATTTCATTGAAACATTTTACAATTTTAACTTTTCGCCCTTTTAGCGCTCTCCCCCAAACGGCGCCCACAGCATGAGCCATGTCGGCCACACACTAGATATGCCCCTGGCGATATGACCTTTCACAACGTGACGCTCTCGAAACTTCCACCGGGAGACAATTAATTATAATTTTTCCATAATACTGAAATTGACTTTGTATCATATAACCAAACCGACATTTCATGCACAACTCATGCTGAGTATACCAATATATTAAAAAATGATATTTTGCAAAATCCTAGTTTTAGAAACGTACGTACATCAAACAAAAAAGATATTTTGAGATCGCGACTGAACGTACAAAATGAATGTCGTATATATCTTATCTGGACAATTACCTACTCAAAATACATCCATGAAAGCTATTATATGCAAAATTAAATGCAAATGTTGTTTTAAAAGATATACTAAAACATTTTTGTGATTATGCGTTTAAGATGTAGAAATCAAAATTATTCGTCACAGTTATCCGTTGAGATGACATTTAGAGGTTTAAATCAATACCACCGCATAATAAGCGGACGAGTCTGATTTACAACAATAAAGTCCTATTAGTGGTAAGATAACAAGTATCATTTTATGCATTGTATACTACATTTCACGACAACATTGGAAGTCAACCAAGCAACATTATTATCAATAATAAACATATCTTCAAAACATTAAAACTATATTCTATCTGATCTTTAGTGGAATCGAATATTTGCAAAATCACGATATCCGCAATGTCTTGCCAAGCAAACTTTTCGACAACATAAACTAAATTATTTTTTCTATCACGGAAAAATCTATATTTCTGGTCCCAAACATACCCGAAAGGGTATTAAAGGTCAAGGTCAAAAAAATCAGGGAGAACTGAGAATTGTGCAAAAATCGTGACACGTGTCGAAGTTTCCCTGTTGAATATTATTTTGTTCGAGACGTTCCAATTTTTGTTTCCGCTGCTTTAACGAATCCGTTGCCATTTCTGTCACAATTTTATATTCCCTTTTTTTAGTTTTATGAAAGTACAATCGGAAATAAAAGTGTCAATTAATTAAGTATGTCGAATTAAAATCAAATTAATAAAAATATGTACTGTATAGCGCATAGTATTATCCGGTAATTTATGACATTTATATGACAGCTACGTTTTACTTTGCTTGCGATTCTTAATTATTCTATATGTAGACGTCATAATACTTAACTAAATAAAACATAATTCAAAATCGTGTAAGGTTGCATCTTCCAAAATTTTTATTTGCACTTTATCCTGGTATTACTGTAGAAACTACACTATTAATGAGCAAATAATAAACTTCGAAAAACATGCTCGATTTATTTATAACCCATGGATGAACTCGTCGTTAATTAATCGTATAACTTGAATACTGACCTCAAAATGAGTTCGATTCTGACGAATACCACAATTAAAGCCAGCAAATAATCTTTCACCTGATTATAAAACCATAACTAATAGATTGCGTTACTTGTGGATTGCAGCAGAACTAAATAACCGATTTTATGATCCGTAATTCTGTTTGAATATGCCTTGGGAAGAATGTTCTGATAAATCTAAGATCATCGTGCATCACGTATATGTTGGATTATTACAGGTTATAAACAGTAGTCAACATTGAACAAAAAACGTTTGCTAAAACTAACTTGTGTACAGGCACGCTTGGTAGTTTATTAAGTTCAATAAGCACGTGATGCATTATCTTTAATCTTGGTGCGTTGGTTTAATATTTTACTATTACATTAAAAATGACAGAACTTAATAGTATATCGTCACGCTAATAACCGAATTGCGTGAGTCATTTTTAGCGATTTTAAGTTTTTTTTTTATATAAAATAGGTATTTATGTAATGCTGCGCACCTGTCTGTTAACTCAGATTTTATTTTAAGAATTCCGAAACCCATAAAAATAGAGATTTAGTATGACATGCACATTTGTGTAATTGTTTCGTCATAATGAATTATCATTGTTGTCGCAGGACTATTGTGACGTCACAACTGCAAAATAACCTCGCGAAGTATTTTCGAGTTTTTGCATCTCGGATTCTAGCTTAGCGCGTATTAATTTGAATTTATACTACAGTATAGAAAGACGTGCACTTGTGATATTCACTGTCCAAGTCCAATTCACCTTGGTTGGCTTTTATATTGGGTGCATTGCTGTTTTATTCTCTATATTTAATCTTGGTCCTATTTTGGTGGGTGTGCAGAACGTGCTATATTGATTAGCTGATTAGCTATTTTCGGGATTAGACATTGTATATACTGAGAATTACATTCGTTTTTGGAATGTTTAGTTTTCAGGACTGGTGCTTATAGTAAAGTTGCAAAATTGCGTATGTCCCCAACTCATAGACACATTCCTGCCTAAGTCACAGTGCGCCATTATGACGTCACTTAACTACGTCATACAAATTAATCTAAACCCGGCTACGATCGAAAAATTGAACAATGGCAAATTATTGACTCTCAATGACATAACAATATCATTAGAAATTTTTTCACTCTTTTCTCAAAACTGCTAAAAATGACTTACGCAATTCGGTTATTAGCGTGACGATATATAAACGTAATATTAGCCGAACTTAGTAGCTTTGTATATGAAGATTGAACATCAATAATGTTTAGAAATCTAAATGTCAATTCCAGGACACGACAATGACATTTTTATAGATAATTCCTTTTGAGCCACATTCATAATGAATGGACTGTAATGATATTCAATATTTCAAAAAGGGATTTTATTTGACGATGACAAAGAACCGCCTGCGAAGTTCTAAAATTGAACATATTGCCTTCGAATAGTATTTTAGATAAATAGTCCAATTGATATTTCACTGTTCAGTTTATGAAAAAAATACTTGTCGACTAACTGAGAACCACGTATAGTCTATAAATATAATAATATACTTTACTTATTTGTCAATTAGTTATCATAGCGGAACATTTGGATTTTGAGAACATTTGATTGGTAGACTGTTTGTGCTCAACGGCATTCATTTTTTTTTGTTTCCAGCAAATAACCTATTCCTATTCGTATTCGCAAATTTGCAAATCATTCAATCGTTTTCTTATTAACTAATTAAAGCTTTGATTTTTTTAACAGCTTTTTACAACAGATTTCGACACAAGATGTTGTATACAATTTTCGGTAGTTATTTATTATATTGTGCATTACTGCAAAATTATGTTGAAGGAAGCAGCAAACCAAACATCATTTTTATTATGGCAGATGACCTGGGTTATAATGACATAGGGTATAATGCCAAAAATCACAATTCTGATATGAAAACACCCTTTCTTGACGCTATGGCCGAGCGGGGTATAAAACTGGAAAACTACTACGTCCAACCTCGCTGTACTCCATCAAGAAGTCAACTTCTTACCGGAAGACAAGACATATCTACTGGTTTACACCATGCTGTGATATACACCGCTCAACCAAATGGCGTACCTACAACGTTAAAAATGTTGCCTGAACAGCTGAGGGACTGCGGGTATGATACACACATGGTCGGAAAATGGCATCTTGGCTTCTATAAAAATGAATTTTTACCTTCAAGAAGAGGATTTAACTCTTATTTTGGAGATCTAACCGGAGCTTCGGACCATTTCACACATACGGCGTGCTCAAAACAATCATGTGGCGTAAGCATGTGGAGTTCCTCCGACGGCCCTGTTAATAATACGTGGGGTGAATATTCAGCTCATTTGTACGCAAGAAAGGCAATTGAAGTAATTAAAAAAAGAGACATCATGAAGCCATTCTTTTTATACCTATCGTATCAATCAGTACATTCGCCCATACAAGCTCCTGATGAATACATAAAACCGTTTAGTCACATAAGTAACAAGAAGCGAAGAACATACGCGGGTATGGTACTTGCTATGGATGAATCAATCCGAAATGTAACATCATATCTCCACAAAGTAGGATTACTTGAGAACACAATTGTCGTTTTTTCTACTGACAACGGTGGAATAACGAGACAAGGTGGTAACAATTATCCCTATAAAGGAGGAAAAGCATCATTGCACGAAGGGGGTGTAAAAGCCGTTGGCTTTATATATGGTAAGCCACTTGGCATGAGGAATGTCACTCACAATGGCCTTCTTCACGTTTCAGATTGGTATCCAACTTTCCTACGGTTATCTTCATGTCCGAAAATGGAAGGAACTCAGCCGCTCGACGGATTTGACCAATTCGATTCAATTGTTAAAAAAACTTCATCTCCACGATATGAAATACTGCATGGATTCGATCCACTTTATAAAAAGGTTGCCAAAACGACTCGGTATAGTTCACAGACTGTTTATAATACCGAAATTCGAGCAGCCCTGCGCTGTGGTCCATGGAAACTCATAACTGGTCACCCTGGTTCTAATCGTGCAGAGCGACCACCAGAATACAACCAACGTTTTGGTATAGCGAGACTGAAGAAAGGCCGATCTGATAGACCTATTTTCCTACGAGATGTTCAACTTTATCACATAGAATCAGATCCAACTGAGAAAATAGAACTATCAGATAAATACCCGAAGGTGGTATATAGATTGTTAAACCGTCTTGCGAATTATACTGCAAAGGCTATACCCGTAAGATTTCCACGCGCCGATCGTCGTTCAGATACTGATCTACACGGTGGTTATTGGGTGCCGTGGCGGAGTAAATAAGAATTTTATTTTAGGCAAATAGAAAGCAATTTTGATTGAATATAAACTTCTAGAATGTATTGCATATAATTTTATGTACATTAATGTTTCACTTCTATATATATTACACATTTTTCTTCTACTATCTACTGTCTTGATAACATTTATCAAACGAGAATTAAAAGTCCCTCCGTGCAAATATGATTGACCACAATAGCAACGTGAGCAGACTTTTCGTATCGACGGATTTTGACCATCTATAGTATACCTTTTGAATAATTTTAATCTGATCTTTTGAAATGCTTGATGGATGATACACGTAATACATAGAACCAAGCGGTGTCGGCCTGCTTGCTACTTTAAAGCGCTTTTTTTAATATTCCTTCGAAAAGCTCAGAATAATGATCACATTACCTTTGAGTTGAACAGAAAACTTGTGGCATGGTCGACTTGACTGACAGAGATGATAATGAGTAGTCGAGCTACAATGTTATAATTATGATGTTGGTTAGTCCTGTTGGCAACACTGAATCCAAAAAAAACTGGCAAATATGGGAATAAAATAGTTATTCGGATGATTTCTAAGGAACTCGTAATCTGTATATATATTAATAGTCTGCTTGTACAAGAACTAGGGCTGGATTTGAGAGACAAAGTTTTTTTCACTATTCTTAAAATATAAGTAATGATATTCAGGCGGAGCTTACAATGATAAGCAATTTTTTTCTGAATAGATTCACATTTGCACTCATGAGCAAAAATTCAACCTTCCTAAATTGGCGCCTGATCCTTCCTGAAGTATGCGTACCAAGATGGCGGGCATCGGAACGTCGTATGTGTACCAGGTTAGGGTTAGGCCATAATTTTTGAGTACAAATACTACGGGAGTCACTTGGCAAGTCCACGAACTCGTTTAAACGAACTAAATTCGCATATTCAATATTATTTGATATTTTTCCGTTAATATACGTGAGGCATTTTTTTGAAGAAAAATTGCACGTATAATATATATTAGAAATTCTGTTTTAGTATCACAAACTGTGGAATATTTTCCCTCATGTAAGCGTAGTTTTATCGCGCCATGTGATATAGTTCTGACTTATTTATGTTGCTCCTCAAATCGTGTTTGGGTTAGCGTTAGTAGGCTATATACTTATTTCAGAAGAAACTTTGCAGGAACAATTTATTAGTTGAAATAGATGAGGAGGTAACATCTTTATGTATTCAGTAACCATTATCTGATCAAGCGAAGTCTAGCCTTCTGACATCGATAACTCCGCGGGAATTTGAAACAAAGCAACAAATTTTTACCCTTTAATTCGTGAGTGCTACGGTTGTATGTGATAACGTGCACAGTTGGCGCTTAAGCATCAGGTTTGCGTAGTTTATAAACCTTAGATTTCTGCCTGGTTATTGTGTGTGATTGACAATCATCGCATTCATGGCAAGCAAGAATTAATTTTGATGCATTATGCGAGACATCGGAGAATGCTGCTTCGGTGTATTTGAAAACTCAGAATGTGTTTGCCTTGCTCAAAAACAATACATGTACTAAAGCTAAAACAGGAAACTACAGTATTACACCCAGTCAAATCATGTGCTGAAAATAAGTTTGATAAGTCTGCTCGGTGGTTTTCAACTGATTTATTATTATCCAGCATTTGTTGTCCTGGAATCAGAAATGCCATTGAAACTTGAAAATGAATTGCTTTTTCGTTGCGAAAAAAACGCACCACAAAGACATCGGAATCCTTCGCGATAAAAATGGCAGTACTGGGTAATTGGAATAACAAATTTTAAAATCCGTTTCCCCGTGTGAATTTCGATCTCCCCCTTTTTTCCATTTCGCATGTAATCTCCGTTGGTATTTATACTCTTCCAAATACAGAAAGTTTGCGACCTCGAAAGATGGGACGAACCATTTTAAATAGTCTACATTGTTCTACAATAAGTGATTGGATTGTTACGCGCAATTTGGACGTAAGGTGGTGGTTGATGAATTCCGTAATCCTATGTATTGAGGGGGGGGGGGGCTTTCCAAGTGGTACGCGAGAAGCTTTGAATTATTGCAACAACCGACTATTTTCCACGGTAGAAGTAGAGCAACGTATTTTTTTTAATAAATATATATTACAGTTAGCATGTAAAAAATTATTTACTTTTCGCTTCATCATTCATTTCGACTAATTTGTAATTGTGATGTATGGAATTCTCATAATCGCGAATCTCTTACCTTACAAATGTCACTTATTTCACGATATTCAGTGACGTATCTACGTACAATGACATTCATGGCAATGTTTAAAAATGCACCCGCTTGATCGTTGACTGAAAATTTTTATTGACTGTTGTTGAATTGAGGTACTTGTACGTTATTATTCTAGTAAAAATTATTACCAAATAAAAATTATTCCATTGAAACATTTTACGATTTTAACTTTTTGCCCTTTTAGCGCTCTCATCCAAACGGCGCCCATGGCATGAGCCATGTCTGCAACACAACTAGATATGCTCTTGGTGATATGACCTTTTACAACGTTACGCTCTCGAAACTTTCACTAGGAGACAATTAATTATAATTTTTCCATAATACTTCAAATTGACTTTGTGTCATACAACCAAACCGACATTTCATGCACAGCTCATGCTGAGTATACCAATAAATTAAAAAATGATATTTTGCAAAATCTTAGTTTTAGAAACGTACGTACATCAAACGAAAAAGATATTTTGAGTTCGCGAATCGACGTATAAAATGAATGTCGTATATATCTTATCTGGACAATTAACTACTCAAAATACATCCATGAAAGCTATTATATGCAAAATTAAATGCAAAATTGTTGTTTTAAAAGATATACTAAAACATTTTTGTGATTATGCGTTTAAGATGTAGAAATCAAAATTATTCGTCACAGTTATCCGTTGAGATGACATTTAGAGGTTTAAATCAATACCACCGCATAATAAGCGGACGAGTCTGATATACAACAATAAAGTCCTATTAGTGGTAAGATAACAAGTATCATTTTATGCATTGTATGCTACATTTCACGACAACATTGGAAGTCAACCAAGCAACATTATAATCAATAATAAACATATCTTCAAAACATTAAAACTATATTCTATCTGATCTTCAGTGGAAACAAATATTTGCAAAATCACGATATCCGCAATGTCTTGCCAAGCAAACTTTTCTACAACATAAACTGAATTAATTTTTCCATCACGGAAAAATCTATATTTCCGGTTCCAAACATACCCGAAAGGGTATTAAAGGTCAAGGTCAAAAAAATCACGGAGAACTGAGAATTATGCAAAAATCGTGACACGTGTCGAAGTTTCCCTGTTGAATAATATTTTGTTCGAGACGTTCCAATTTTTGTTTCCGCTGCTTTAACGAATCCGTTGCCATTTCTGTCACAATTTTAAATTCCTTTTTTTAGTTTTATGAAAGTACAATCGGAAATAAAAGTCGGAAGTATTTCGAATTAAAATCAAATTAATAAAAATATGTACTGTATAGCGTATAGTATTATCCGGAAATTTATGACATTTATATGACATCTACGTTTTACTTTGCTTGCGATTCGTAATTATTCTATATGTAGATGTCATAATACTTAACTAAATAAAACATGATTCAAAATCGTGTGAGGTTGGATCTTCCAAAATTTTTATTTGTACTTTATCCTGGTATTACTGTAGAAACTACACTATTAATGAGCAAATAATAAACTTCGAGAAAATGCTCGATTTATTTATATTCCATGGATGAACTCGTCGTTAATTAATCGTATAACTTGAATATTGACTTCGAAATGAGTTCGATTTTGACGAATATCACAATTAACGCCAGTAAATAACCTTTCACCTGATAATAAAACCATAACTAATAGATTGCGTTACTTGTTGATTGCAGCAGAACTAAATAACCGATTTTATGATCTGTAATTCTGTTTGAATATGCCTTGGGAAGAATGTACTGATAAATCTAAGATCATCGTGCATCACGTATATGTTGGATTATTACAGGTTATAAACAGTAGTCAACATTGAACAAAAAACGTTTGCTAAAACTAACTTGTGTACAGGCACGCTTGGTAGATTATTAAGTTCAATAAGCACGTGATGCATTATCTTTAATCTTGGTGCGTTGGTTTAATATTTTACTATTACATTAAAAATGACAGAACTTAATAGTATATCGTCACGCTAATAACCGAATTGCGTAAGTCATTTTTGGCGATTTTGAGTTTTTTTTTATGGAATAGGTATTCATGTAATGCTGCGCACCTGTCTGTTAACTCAGATTTTATTTTGAGAATTCCGAAACCCATAAAAATAGAGATTTAGTATGACATGCACATTTGTGCAATTGTTTCGTCATAATGATTTATCATTGTTGCCGCAGGACTATTGTGACGTCACAAAGGCAAATACCCTTAGCGAAGTTTTTTCGAGTTTTTGCATCTCGGATTCTAGCTTCGCGCGTATCAATTTGAATTTATACTACAGTATAGGAAGACGTGCACTTGTGATATTCACTGTCCGAGTCCAATTCACCTTGGTTGACTTTTATATTGGGTGCATTGCTGTTTTATTCTTTATATTTAATCTTGGATACATTTGGATTTTGAGAACATTTGATTGGTAGACTGTTTGTGCTCAACGGAATTCATTTTTTTTGTTTCCAGCAAATAACCTATTCATATTCGTATTATATAACAATAAGTTATGATTCTAAGTCAAGCGCCTGCAAATTTGCAAATCATTCAATCGTTTTCTTATTAACTCATTAAAGCTTTGATTTTTTTAACAGCTTTTTACAACAGATTTCGACACAAGATGTTGTATACAAATTTCGGTAGTTTTTTATTATATTGTTCATTACTGCGAAATTCTGTTGAAGGAAGCAGCAAACCGAACATCATTTTTATTATGCATGGTAGATGACCTGGGTTATAATGACATAGGGTATAATGCCAAAAATCACAATTCTGATATGAAAACACCCTTTCTTGACGCTATGGCCGATCGGGGTATAAAATTGGAAAACTACTACGTCCAACCTCGCTGTACTCCATGAAGAAGTCAACTTCTTACGGAAGACAAGACATATCTACTGGTTTACACCATGCTGTGATATACACCGCTCAACCAAATGGCGTACCTACAACGTTAAAAATGTTGCCTGAACAGCTGAGGGACTGCGGGTATGATACACACATGGTCGGAAAATGGCATCTTGGCTTCTATAAAAATGAATTTTTACCTTCAAGAAGAGAATTTGATTCTTATTTTGGAGATCTAACCGGTTCTTCGGACCATTTCACACAAAACGCGTGCTCAAAACGATCATGTGGCGTAAGCATGTGGAGTTCCTCAGACGGCCCTGTTAATAATACGTGGGGTGAATATTCAGCTCATTTGTACGCAAGAAAGAAAATTGAAGTAATTAAAAAAAGCGACATCATGAAGCCATTCTTTTTATACCTATCGTATCAATCAGTACATTCGCCCATACAAGCTCCTGATGAATACATAAAACCGTTTAGTCACATAAGTAACAAGAAGCGAAGAACGTACGCGGGTATGGTACTTGCTATGAATGAATCAATCCGAAATGTAACATCATATCTCCACAAAGTAGGATTACTTAAGAACACAATTGTCGTTTTTTCTACTGACAACGGTGGAATAAATGAGACAAGATGGTAACAATTATCCCTATAAAGGAGGAAAGCATCATTGCACGAAGAGGATGTAAAACCCGTTGGCTTTATATATGGTAAGCCACTTGGCATGAGGAATGTCACTCACAAGGGCCTTCTTCACGTTTCAGATTGGTATCCAACTTTCATACGGTTATCTTCATGTCCGAAAATGGAAGGAACTCAGCCGCTCGACGGATTTGACCAATTCGATTCCATTGTTAAAAAAAAACTCCATCTCCACGATATGAAATACTGCATGGATTCGATCCACTTCATAAAAAGGTTGCCAAAACGACTCGGTATAGTTCACAGACTGTTTATAATACCGAAATCCGAGCAGCCCTGCGCTGTGGTTCATGGAAACTCATAACTGGTCTAATCGTGCAGAGCGACCACCAGAATACAACCAACGTTTTGGTATAGCGAGACTGAAGAAAGGCCGATCTGATAGACCTATTTTTCTGCGAGACGTTCAACTTTATTACATAAAATCAGATCCCACTGAGAAAATAGAACTATCAGATAAATACCCGAAGGTGGTATATAGATTGTTAAACCGTCTTACGAATTATACTGCAAAGGCTATACCCGTAAGATTTCCAAGCGCCGATCGTCGTTCAGATACTGATCTACACGGTGGTTATTGGGTGCCGTGGTGGAGTAAATCAGAATTTTATTTTAGGCAAACAGAAGGCAATTTTGATTGAAAATAAACTTCTAGAATGTATTGCATATACTTTTATGTACATTAATGTTTCACTTCTATATCTATTACACATTTTTCTTCTACTATCTACTGTCTTGATAACATTTATAAAACGAGAATTAAAAGACCCTCCGTGCAAATATGATTGACCACAATAGCAACGTGAGCAGACTTTTCGTATCGACGGATTTTGACCATCTATACCTTTTGAATAATTTTAACCTGATCTTTTGAAATGCTTGATGGATGATACACGTAATACATAGAACCAAGCGGTGTCGGCCTGCTTGCTACTTTAAAGCGCTTTTTTAATATTCCTTCGAAAAGCTCAGAATAATGATCACATTAACTTTGAGTTGAACAGAAAACTTGTGGCATGGTCGACTTGACTGACAGAGATGATAATGAGTAGACGAGCTACAATGTTATAATTATGATGTTGGTTAGTCCTGTTGGCAACACTAAATCCAAAAAAACTGACAAATATGGGAATAAAATAGTTATTCGGATGATTTCTAACGAACTCGTAATCTGTATATATATTATTAGTCTGCCTGTACAAGAACTAGGGCTGGATTTGAGAGACAAAGATTTTTTCACTATTCTTAAAATATAAGTAATGATATTCAGGCGGAGCTTACAATGATAAGCAATTTTTTTCTGAATAGATTCCCATTTGCACTCATGAGCAAAAATTCAACCTTCCTAAATTGGCGCTCCTGAAGTATGCGTACCAAGATGGCGGACATCGGAACGTCGTATGTGTACCAGGTTAGGGTTAGGCCATAATTGTTGAATACGAATACTACGGGAGTCACTTGGCAAGTCCACGAACTCTTTTAAACGAACTAAATTCGCATATTCAATATTATTTGATATTTTTCCGTTAATATACGTGAGGCATTTTTTGAAGAAAAATTGCACGTATAATATATATTAGAAATTCTGTTTTAGTATCACAAACGGTGGAATATTTTCCCTCATGTAAGCGTAAATTTATCGCGCCATGTGATATAGTTCTGACTTATTTATGTTGCTCCTCAAATCGTGTTTGGGTTACTTATTTCAGAAGAAACTCTGCAGGAACAATTTATTAGTTGAAATAGATGAGGAGGTAACATCTTTATGTATTCAGTAACCATTATCTGATTAAGCGAAGTCTAGCGTTCTGACATCGATAACTCCGCGGGAATTTGAAACAAAGCAACAAATTTTTACCCATTAATTCGTGAGTGCTACGGTTGTATGTGATAACGTGCACAGTTGGCGCTTAAGCATCAGGTTTGCGTAGTTTATAAACCTTAGATTTCTGCCTGGTTATTGTGTGTGATTGACAATCATTGCATTCAGGGCAAGCAAGAGTTAATTTTGATGCATTATGCGAGACATCGGAGAATGCTGCTTCGGTGTATTTGAAAACTCAGAATGTGTTTGCCTTGCTCAAAAACAATACATGTACTAAAGCTGAAACAGAAAACTACAGTATTGCACCCAGTCAAATCATGTGCTGAAAATAAGTTTGATAAGTCTGTTTGGTGGTTTTCAACTGATTTATTAATATCCAGCATTTGTCGTCCTGGAATCGGAGATGCCATTAAAGCTTGAAATTAAATTGCTTTCTCGCTGCCAAAAAAACGCACCACAAAGACATCGGAATCCTTCGCGATAAAAATGGCAGTACTGGGTAATTGGAATAACAAATTTTGAAATCCGTTTCCCCGTGTGAATTTCGATCTCCCTTTTTTTCCATTTCGCATGTAATCTCCGTTGGTATTTATACTCTTCCAAATACGGAAAGTTTGCGACCTCGAAAGATGGGACGAACCATTTTAAATAGTCTACATTGTTCTACAATAAGTGATTGGATTGTTACGCGCAATTTGGACGTAAGGTGGTGGTTGATGAATTCCGTAATCCTATGTATTGAGGGTGGGGGGGGGGGGGGCTTTCCAAGTGGTACGCGAGAAGCTTTGAATTATTGCAACAACCGACTATTTTCCACGGTAGAAGTAGAGCAACGTTTTTTTTTAATAAATATATATTACAGTTAGCATGTAAAAAATTATTTACTTTTCGCTTCATCATTCATTTCGACTAATTTGTAATTGTGATGTATGGAATTCTCATAATCGCGAATCTCTACCTTACAAATGTCACTTATTTCACGATATTCAGTGACGTATCTACGTACAATGACATTCATGGCAATGTTTAAAAATGCACCCGCTTGATCGTTGACTGAAAATTTTTAATGACTGTTGTTGAATTGAGGTACTTGTACGTTATTATTCTAGTAAAAATTATTACCAAATAAAAATTATTCCATTGAATCATTTTACGATTTCAACTTTTCGCCCTTTTAGCGCTCTCATCCAAACGGCGCCCATGGCATGAGCCATGTCTGCCACACATTAGATATGCTCTTGGTGATATGACCTTTTGAAACGTTACGCTCTCGAAACTTTCACTAGGAGACAATTAATTATAATTTTTCCATAATACTTCAAATTGACTTTGTGTCATACAACCAAACCGACATTTCATGCACAGCTCATGCTGAGTATACCAATAAATTAAAAAATGATATTTTGCAAAATCCTAGTTTTAGAAACGTACGTACATCAAACGAAAAAGATATTTTGAGTTCGCGAATCGACGTATAAAATGAATGTCGTATATATCTTATCTGGACAATTAACTACTCAAAATACATCCATGAAAGCTATTATATGCAAAATTAAATGCAAAATTGTTGTTTTAAAAGATATACTAAAACATTTTTGTGATTATGCGTTTAAGATGTAGAAATCAAAATTATTCGTCACAGTTATCCGTTGAGATGACATTTAGAGGTTTAAATCAATACCACCGCATAATAAGCGGACGAGTCTGATTTACAACAATAAAGTCCTATTAGTGGTAAGATAACAAGTATCATTTTATGCATTGTATGCTACATTTCACGACAACATTGGAAGTCAACCAAGCAACATTATATTCAATAATAAACATATCTTCAAAACATAAAACTATATTCTATCTGATCTTCAGTGGAAGCAAATATTTGCAAAATCACGATATCCGCAATGTCTTGCCAAGCAAACTTTTCGACAACATAAACTGAATTAATTTTTCCATCACGGAAAAATCTATATTTCCGGTCCCTAACATACCCGAAAGGGTATTAAAGGTCAAGGTCAAAACAATCACGGAGAACTGAGAATTATGCAAAAATCGTGACACGTGTCGAAGTTTCCCTGTTGAATATTATTTTGTTCGAGACGTTCCAATTTTTGTTTCCGCTTCTTTAACGAATCCGTTGCCATTTCTGTCACAATTTTAAATTCCCTTTTTTTAGTTTTATGAAAGTACAATCGGAAATAAAAGTCGGAAGTATTCCGAATTAAAATCAAATTAATGAAAATATGTATTGTATAGCGTATAGTATTATCCGGAAATTTATGACATTTATATGACATCTACGTTTTACTTTGCTTGCGATTCGTAATTATTCTATATGTAGATGTCATAATACTTAACTAAATAAAACATGATTCAAAATCGTGTGAGGTTGGATCTTCCAAAATTTTTATTTGTACTTTATCCTGGTATTACTGTAGAAACTACACTATTAATAAGCAAATAATAAACTTTGAGAAAATGCTCGATTTATTGATATCCCATGGATGAACTCGTCGTTAATTAATCGTATAACTTGAATATTGACCTTGAAATGAGTTCGATTTTGACGAATATCACAATTAACGCCAGTAAATAACCTTTCACCTGATAATAAAACAATAACTAATAGATTGCGTTACTTGTTGATTGCGGCAGAACTAAATAACCGATTTTATGATCTGTAATTCTGTTTGAATATGCCTTAGGAAGAATGTACTGATGGATTGGATTATTACAGGTTATAAACAGTAGTCAATATTGAACAAAAAACGTTTGCTAAAACTAACTTGTGTACAGGCACGCTTGGTAGTTTATTGAGTTTAATAAGCACGTGATGCAATATTTTTTAATCTTGGTGCGTTGGTTTAATATTTTACTATTACAAACAGCCGGTAAGCCCATATGGGCGTCTCAACGCTATTAAGGCTAGCGCATGGTAATCTACTGTTACTATCGCTCTTAGTTGTTTATTGACGTAATGCCCTGGTATGAGAGAAGCGATAAAACCTTCAAGCCGTGACGCAAAGTGCGAATCGTATGAATAGCGTGGATTTCAAAATTGCCTGTCAGACGTCTGAAAATGTCGACTCAGCTCAGACAGGAAATACTCCTTTATA